TTTTTATTTAATATCAATTTTAATAATTAATGATTAAATTTTGCACCATAATTGCATTTGTAACGAATATTTTTTTTTGTGACGAATAAAATTGTTATGAATAACTTGTTAATAATGTTAATTTTTTTTATCACTATAAAGTTATTTTCTATGACAGGTACTTAATTTGTCATTAAGAGCATTAGTGACAAAGGTTTTATTAATGATTTAAATTTTATCACTAATAATAATTTGTAACGAAAAATAAGGATTTAATGATCAATAATTTAGTCACTAAATATGAATTTTTTGGTAGTGTGATCTTTGTAAAGTAGCGAAACCAATTCATTAAAGAGAAGCAAAGCAAGCCTTCCCAGTAAGTTCCACACCCCTCTCTAACTCTCTTAGTCTCTTTTATATCCAATATTTATTAAATCTAAAATTCTTCCTAAAATTTTGAAAAATATTATTTTAATTCAAAATACAAGTATTATAATTTATAATTAGAATTTTTAAAAGAACTAAATTATAGCAGACATGGGATTAAATATAGAATTATAGATATAGATCTAACAGCAGTGTCACACGATGGGATGATTAAAACCTAGGAGCATAGCACGTGAGAAACCAGACATGACTTTAATACTCTCATAATTTAGATTGTGGATAGCAATTCCATTCGATGAATTTACCACACTTCACGGAACAAACAGTGTGATTCTACCATCATTATCATCTTTTTTTCCAAACATAAATCATCATTTTGATTTGAACCCACTAATCCTAGCTTATTATCCATCAAAATTGAAATTAAAGTTCATTTCCATTTCAAAACGTTTCCCCTCATTTACTTCTAACGAAACTCGTTAAAAAATTTATAAAAAACACTGAAAATAAAAGATTTTAAATTTAATTAAATCACATAAGATGTGGATGAAATATGATAAAAAAATGAAAGATAATTATTTTTCATTGTATAATCAAAATAGAAAAAAGCAATCCCCTCGTTAAGCTTTTCTATTAACCAAAATATAAATCATCATTGTTGAGTAAAAGTCTCCCTTTTGAGCACCTCAAAAGGCCATTTAAGGAAGAACGTGACGTAACGCGCCACCGTGGCGAGTAGGTAATCAATTCAAAAGTATTATAACTGTATGATACAACTTTAACTGTGCGGAGCTTTATATTAATTCGCCGTTTTTCACGTTCTACCGTTACTTTATATACACTAATGAAGGGTAAGAAAAAAGAAGTAAATAATCTAGCTATCTTTCACGTGTCACTCACACGTGCATCAATATTCTGCAAAGGAAACGTTCCGGTGATGGTCGGACGACGGGGATGGGAACGTCGACGGCGGCATTGACGGCGGAGGAGCCTTCAGACTCTCGAAATACTCTCGTATATCCACGCCACCTTCCGTTGCTTTCTCCGCTAACTCGGTCTCGTCTTTAGACGGGATAAACGGCGGCCGTGACACCTCGGTTAGTAGGTCCCACCGGACCCCTTCGAAGAACACATGCTCCTTGATCTCGCACGCGCCTCTCCGGTACCCTAATCTCTTTGTTGGATCTTTCTGTAACAACCGTCCGATTAAGTCCGTTAAAGCAGTTCGTTTCCCGGTGAACTCCGGCTCCTTCATCAAGACGTTCCGGAACGTTTCTTTCCGGTTTTTCCCTTTGAATGGGGTCGTCCCGTATAACATCTCGTAGGTTAGAATCCCTAGAGCCCACCAATCGACGGCGAATTCGTGGCCGTTTCCACGGACTATTTCCGGCGACACGTACTCCTCCGTGCCCACGAATGAGTTGGATCGCTCTCCATCGACGAAGCTCAGCTTTCTCCGACTCACCGGGCTGACTCGGGCGGATTTTGCTTTCTTCAAACTGCTTCTGTTAGTGTTATCGGGCACCATTGGGATCCATCTGGTGAAATTACGTCGATGCTTCCGTTGAATAGGAATATCCGATGGCAAATTCGGGTTCATTTTTCCTTCTGCTGACAGCTCCGTCAAGGGTTTCCTTTTTAAGCTCCGGGAGAGGTCGAAGTCGGTGAGGGTAACATGGCCAGAATGTTGTATGAGGATGTTTTCAGGCTTGAGGTCTCGGTAGACGATGCCTATGGAATGCAGATGCTCCAGAGCGCAGAGGATCTCGGCGAGATAGAAGCGAATTACGGCAGGAGAGAAAACCTGGTCATTCTGGCAGTAGCGGAGGACGTTGAGGTCGGAGCCGGAGCAGTAAGGTACAGCCCAGGCGAGAAACTCGGGAGTATCAAGTCGGCCAAGGAGACGGGGAAGGAAAGGATGCTGATCGGCAGGGTCAGGAGAGGATATACGCGTGAGAAACTGGATTTCCAAGCCAGCGCGGCGTTCTGCATCGTGTTTGGCTTTCTGGACAACCTTGAGGGCGTAGGGAGAGCGCGCGGTGGGGTCGTTAACCTTGTCATGCACCAGAAAGACGGTGCCCATGGCGCCTTTGCCAAGGATTTTCAAGGCTTTGAGGTTGTCCAGCTCTAGCTCCGGTGGTGATGACGGTGGTGGGGCTGAGGGTGTCTCCATTTCTCCGAGAGAGAGAAAAAGGAGAAAAGTTGAATGGAGAGAAAAGAGAGATGGTTTGAGGAGTTAGGGGTCGGCTTTTATAGTTTGGTTTTTGTTATATTTTTATGGTTCATACGTGAATTGAACTATTCAAGCACTGAATTAGTGAAACAATCGAGAAGACTGTGTCTTCACTCGGAAAAAAGTGTGTTAGTTTTTTTTAGATGAATTGGTGAATTCAACACTTTTTTTTTAAATGGTCAAGGTGTCCTTAAAATAGTTTGCTTGCGGGTACTTTAAAACTAAATTATCTTTGATTGTGAATTGGTAATAAATTATCAAACTCTTGTTCGTAGATATATTAGTTGAAAACTTGAAATATTTGTTGAATAAATCTTTACAAATATATATATATATATATTGTTCTCTCATATTGTGAGAATTTATTATAATTAAGTTGTTATTCATTTTCTATTTTATTTTTCTAATATGTTATTTCTTTGTTACGTTTTGTTAAGCAAGAATATATTATAACAACAATTCAAATTTTAAAATTTACAATTCAATTCATTTAAACTAAGAAAAGTTGGTAAAGGCTAAGGTTTCATAGAATCATAATCTTGAGATTGTGAGTTTCACTCCTATATATAACATGTTTTCTTTAAATTTTTCTTGAATTTTGTATTGTATTTAAGTCAAGATATTTACATTGTATATAATTTATATATTATGCTTTAATGCTTATACTCTATTATCTATTAAAAGAAAAAGAGAGGATAGTCTCTAAATAAACTCAGAATACCCTAATATCACGATTACTCTTATATTAACATTTTGTTTTATGTACATTTTTCTTATAATTCAATGGGTGGATAATTGTTTTAAGCCTTAGATTTTCCAATCTTCAATAATAAAAATTGGCCAAAAAATAATCATAAATATCAAAAACTATATTCATAATTCATACATAATATTTTTAAGTCTAAAGGAAATTCCAAGTGCCAATAAATATGGGACGAAAAAACTCCACACTGCTGTGTTTTGTGCAATTTTTAGCTGTACATTATGATTCCAATTACTCATTGCTACCCATATGGAGCTAGAGGCCTTAGTTGTAATGAGTTGGTTGAAGTGGAGACTGTCTTTACTTTTATCATTTTTTATAAAAAGTTAAAACTAGAAAAATAAAAAGAGGAAGGCACACGTGTAAGGAAAAATAAAAAGAAAGAAACATAGAGCCAAACAAGAGACAAGAAAAAAAAAAAAAAAGGGATTGGTAGTTATTTCGTACAGTACTCACATCACATGGTTGGTCTCCCCACAATGGAAGGGAAGAAGAATAATAGGAACGTGCACGGTGCACCCTTCATCAAATTTGGGGCTTTGTTCTTTGTTGGAATGTTGTTCCCCATTTTATTATTCTCAACATTTTTTATCCATTTGTCCTAATTAATTCATTTTATTCCTTCATTTCCAATATTTTTTTTTCAAATTATTAAAGATATACATGGTGTTGCATTTAACTAAAATATTATGAAATTGACTTTCGCTTAACAAACTATCAATGATTAAGTGACAGAAATTAGGGAAAAAAATGTCATGTTGCACGAATTAATGGGTACTTGTTTATAACCATAATGTCACAATTTGTGTTAGCTGTATGGAGACTTATGGGACATATATCAATCATCATATTTTTGGCGTAGCTAGTCAAGCTGGGACAAGTTTACAGTGTCTCTTTTTCTTATTTAAACTGTTAGAGTGTTTTTGAGTAATTTTTACAAATTAGTTTTTAGATTTATGTTTATTGGTTGTATGAAAAATGATTGTGTATCTTTTAGGTATTGTTTGGATTGAAGGTGTCGGACGGAGAGGGAGGGGAAGGGATGGGGATGGATGGCAAGGGAGGGGGAGCCAGGGGGGTTGTCTCCTTCCTCCTGTTTGGGTTTTCAAAAAGGCAAAGGTGGAGGGAGATGAACTGATTCGGACTCCCTCCAATCACCCTCAAATCTGCAGATTTGCAATCCGTCCGATTTGGGGGGTTTGGGAGGGATTTGAGTGATTGTTTATATTAAGTTAAATGTAATTACAAAATTAACCTTAATTTTTTTATTATATCCTTATCTATTATAAGTTTAAAGGATAAATTTGTAAATTTAAAATTAATTTAAATCTTTTCCTTCCTTCCCTTCCTTTTACCTTAATTATCCAAACATAAAATAATACA